TCACTTCAAACTTTTATGTTTAACTAAACCTGAAGTTGTCTTTTACATAGTTTGTCTATATATATATATATTTTTAATTTTTTTAATAATTACAAGTTTTTATAATAATAATTAACTATAAATATATTTTAGAGTATTTTTTCATAATAAGTAGTTTTAGATTTTTTTTTTACAAAGGAACAATGGTTAGAAATTAATATATGTTCAGTAAGCAAGAAGATTCGAATGTGGGTGAACTCCACTTGCTCTTCGTGGAGGAGCACGGCCCAACCAGTGGGCCGCATGAGGAAGTTTAGTAGTTTTAAATGGATTAATTTAAAAAGAAGTTTAAATTGTAGGGATGAAAAACATTTAAACTTAAAAATTTAATCAATTTAATTTTAAAAAATAAAAACTAATTTTCATAGTTTGTTTCTATATAAGAAAATGATTGGTACATCCTTTAGTTTGACACACCCTTCAATATTTGCTTGGTTTAGTTATTAAAATATTATATAAGTACAATAATTTAACTGATTTCAGTATCATGTATGCATAACTGTCTCTTTAAGTTTATTTGTTTCTAATTTCAAACAAAATAATAATAATTTTTTAATAAGTATGTTGTATAACATGCTAAATTGAAGAGTGTACTAGATAGTGTCTTACTATATATCTTTCTATGACATTGATTGGTACATCCTTTGTTTAACATACTATATAACACATTCATTAAAAAATTATTATTTTTTAGTCTTCAATTAAATACAAATAAAATTAAAATGCAACCGTTTATATAAAACATAAGAACTAACTGTATCAATTGTACTTATATTATATTTTAATAATTAAACCACAATGGTATCAAAAAATATGTTGAATTGGAACATGTATCAATCATTTTCCATCTTTCTTAATTTGAAGCACTTTCAATTTTCTGGTTTGTTTCATTATCATATACTTATGTTATTATTATGTGTTTTGATTCAAACTTAACTTAATACACGTATCTCTTATCATTTTTCTTTCTTAAACTGTTATTTTTGACATTATTTTGGACTTTTATTACTTATTTGCATCTATTTCACTTTTACTCTCTCATATTATCTCTATGTGTTTATATATGGGGGGGTGTGTGTATATACATATATTTGTAAATCCCTCTCCATATCAGTAATTTATTTTTTTATTATTGTATTACAGTATTATATATGTTAGATTTAAATTACTATTTAATAGATATTTTTTAAAAGGCCTATTGGATATTTATTATAAATTTTTAAAACCCATTTGGTATCATGATGATTTTTTAAAGTTCAATGTGTATTTATTGAGGATTTTTAAAGTCTAGTTAGTAATTATTTAAGAATTTTCAGGAAAATTTTATTGTCAAGGCAATTTTATATATAGCTAAGATTAAAATATTAAGTACTTCATATATTTGTGTATATTATAGTATGAATGATAGTTGAAATTTTTTATACATAAATTCTTAATAAATAATTTCAATTAATAAAATTTTTAATATATTGTTATTCCAAGATATTGATCTTTGTCATTTATATATATTATCTTCCTCATATTGTAGTTTATTAACAATTCAGAAAACAAGCACAATTATTAGAACTTGAAATTTTATATTACGTAAAAATTTCATATTTATTGCTGAGGTTTTTATAGCAATAAAAATGCTTCAGCTTACCCAAAATATGACAACTAAATTTGGAAAGAGATGATTAAACTTGTAGCAATAGTATTATATAAAGATACAAAAATGTATTTTTTAGATGGAATTATAAGAATAAAAGTGCAGATCAACCTAAAAAACCTCAACCCCATAAAAATGTTAAGCAAAAGTAAAAATACAACTACCATAAAGTTTCATAATTTGAAAATGTTTTACACAAATCTTCTCACACAACAACTTATTCTTATTTATTTAGTTGTCCTAATTTAAACTTGTAAAATTAAAAGAATATCTTACGGGGCAACTAAAAATATAATGATTAAGGCTTGAAATACGTTTGTTTATCCCATATAAAAACATTTCTCATTTATCAATAGCTTAGAGTAACATGTGTGAATCTGCAATAAGAGAATTTAATGTCTTTCAAAAATAAAAAGTGGGACAATTAAAAAAACCCTTAATTTAATAAGTGGGACAATCAAATAAAAATATGGAGTGTTTTTTTTATCTTATTTTATTATTTTTTTGTATAAGTTAATAATATTTTATTTTTTTGTAACTTTTGAAGAGTTTTTATTAACTTTGTGTATAGGAAAGGAGAGTCTCCCTAAAAATTTATATTTATAGGTTAAATAAATATTCCTTCCATTTATTTTTAAGAGATTTAATTTGACTTTTAAAATTTTAAAATATAAAATTTAAATGAAAATTTAATAATTTATATAAATAAAAATTAAAATTTTTTTGTTTCTATATGTAATTCTTGTTAAGTATCTCTATGTAATCAAAGCAAATTTTCAATTAACCTTTATATGAATCGTTGAATTTTTATATAAAATTTATATGTTAAAAGTAAAAAAATCAAACTAAATGAACAGAAAGAGTAATATGAATTGGGATGATGTAACTTGATGAGTCCCTCCCGATGTAAATGCTTTAAGAAAGAAACCTAGAAAAATAGCAAATTCAAACAGAGATAGAATGGTACCAGGCGTAGTTAATCTGTTCTGGGGGCCAAACTGCGTTCCTTCATCAGGAATTTCTTTTAATAACTGCTCTCTTTCACCAAGACTTTCTTCTAATCTACCAGTCATATACTTCAACTTGGAAACCATCCTTTTTCCTCGATAAGAATGCATAAACCTTGAAATCTTGTTAAACAAATTAAGGATGAGTTTCCATGGCTTGTTGGCACTGGATTGGACTTCTGCAGTTTGCTCGAATATATTGGCATTCTTTATCTCCCAAAGTATATAAGCAGTATCATAAAGCACACTCTTCATTTCGGCAATCCATATCTTCACCATGATGTCGTCGCGATATCGCTCAGCATCTTCAGCTACACGTATCGTGTTCTCCAACACACTTCTCAACGTAGTTAGCTCTTTACGAATTTGATTTGATGAATTCGGCAATTTCCATAAACAAATTCGGATATCTTGGTACATGAGCTCCAACACAGACCAGACTACTCCTGCAAAATAATAATAATAAATAAATAAATAAATAAATAAAAGGAGCGTGACTGATCGATCATTTTACTCGTGATTCGGCGTATGGCAGCAGCACCTTAGAATGTAATATCATTCTAATTTAGAGGTAGGAATAAGGGATATTTATATAATATTATTTTTTTTCTTTGAACAGCAAATGGATAATTCATTGATGAAAAAATTGAGTACAAGGAGTACTCAAACCCTTACAACACATACAAAAAGCCAGCCCTTCAGTGTTATTACTATCTTTCAAATCATTACTACTATCTTTTATATAATATTATTATAGTTTATGTTTTAGTACTAATTAAAGTATTAATTGCACCAACACATTGATGTAAAAATAAATATTATACTTTTGTGGTGTGTACTTGGGGTTCAGTAAAAAATAATACACTAAGTAATTATTGTCCAATAATTATTGCTCAGGGGAGATGATAAATAAATTGTGAATTAAATAAAGGGTTTTTTTAAATTTATATTTTAGATGTATAGATTAAAAATCTTGAAAAAATAAAAAATAATATTTAATTTATTAACTGTTTAATTAAATTTATATACGTGATATTAATTATAAAATTAATATTTATTTTTATATTTTTTATATAAATTTATTACTAAAAAATGCCCTTAACCCATGGCATTTGAACACAAATTAAAAAAATCCTTAAATAAAATTTGTTTGCGGATCTTTCGAAGGAGAACCTTAATGTCTTTCAAAAGTAAAAAGTAGAACAATTAAATAAAAATATGGAGTATTTTTTATTTTATTTTATTTTATTTTTGTATAATTTTTTTTTTTGTGTAACTTTTGAAGAATTTTTATTAGTTCTA